ACTTATGATTATAGTTTTATTATTAAAAAAAAAAAAAAGGATACAAATCAGAGCTAGCCAAAGGGAGGGACGCATAGGGCAGGGTCTGGAATGGTGCCTCTGCCATTCTCAGAAACACATTACCCTCTTGGTGTTGAATTATGACATTACTCAAACAGTATTGCCAACCAGGGAAGCTCACCTGAGCCTTTGGTGTCCAGAGTTTTTATTGCAGCTCCATCACGTATTGCTCTCACAGCTGACCTTTAGTCTCCAACCACTTCTGGAGGTTGCTCTGATACCTTTAGTCTCCAGTTCTTCTAGAGGTAAGAACTGATACAACATGGTCCAAAGCCTCCATCGTAAGTCATATTGTCAGACATTCTGGTGGCCAAAGCCCTCAAGCAAACAAAGATATTCCTATAAGGCAGGTCGTTCCAGGGGCTTAGAGATCACCTCCTAGTAGTCAAGGGTAAAGGCCAGACCTCTCTTCAGATGTGGGTGGTTTTTCTCTGCACAGATCCCCAACAAATTGTCCATTTTTATTCCAGGTGAGTGCTAAATTCACTGTCTTCAGGGCTCTTTAAAATAGGCTAAGAGTAGCCAGGAGCCCCTGTAGTGCAGTGGTTAAGAGCTACGGTGACTAACCAAAAGGTGAGCAGTTGGAATCCACCGGCCATTCCTTGGAAAAACCCTATGGGGTAGTTCTACTCTTTCCTGTAGGGTCGTTATCAGTTGGAACTGACGGCAATGGGTTAAGGGTAGTCAATAAATAAAAATGCAGTATTATTTACCAAATGATCTTTCACATCTGAATCTACTATCCATTCAGTCCTCATATGGTGGGGTAGGAAAGCCCTAAAGATGAATGTTAGGGTTCTTCATATTTTATTACTATCTGAAAACATTTAATAAATACATGGTAATGAATTGAAAGGCTATTTGGAAGATTATTTGTATCATAGAGCCTCATCTCCCAAATTTTTTCCAAAGACAGAAGCTTGTTTTGGCGGTGTTTTTAGGATATTTCTAGGCTCTTTGATAGTGTTGAGGGCTGAGGGAAGAGGGATGGTATATTCTCAAAAAGCTAATTCACTGTCCCATTGAGCACAGCCCTTAATAGCTATGCCAAATTAAAAATATAAGAAACATTGATTCCAGACAAATCTTTGACTCTGATAAATAATAACCTAAGGTACCTAAAGTTTCCATCATTATTTAAAGCTCCACGAAATGCCATTGCAGCTTCTTTTTTAGGTATTAATGGGGCTTATTTCCAATGTTTGGCTGTAATCAAACAGGGGGAAGGAAATGGTTTTAGGGAAATGGGAATGGTTTTAGATGTCAGGGGACATCTAATTATAGCAATATTTTTTAATAATCATTAGAAGTAACCTCAGAACCTGGGGTAACATAATTGGAAGTCTAGAATTTATTCATTTATGTTTTAAAAAATATAAAAAAGGTAAAAATTGTTTTAATCAATATTTAATGTTCCATTGTTTAATCACAATTACAGGGGCTAATGTGAGAATCTGCCAGTTAATGTATTGAATTTCTTCAAGTACATGTTACAGGCTAAACCAGGACAAAGTAAAATAAAATTGTTTATTCTTTTAACATGTTTGCTAACTACTTCCTTAAAACTATTGTGATACTACCCTGGTAAAGCACTTAATATGTCTAGCTTTTTCATGAGTCATCTATGCTTGGGCTTTAAACCAGTGCTGTGCTTCCTGGCAGCAAGGAAAAAGGGAAAAATCAGTGTAATTTACACTCTCTGTATTAAGCAAAAGAAAGCTAAAAATCAACTCTTTTACAGAGAAAAAAAATTTTTCCTGCTAATAAATTCTAAAAGATAAATCTGTTTCGTGAATTTTTAATTAAGAACACTTATTTTCTTATTGGAAATTTAAAGAATACTATAAAAATTTCAACTCTTTTTTTTTTTTAAGTTGTGATTCCCAAGAAATTAATCTAATGACTTTTCATTTGTCACCTCCAAAAATAAAACAATTTGAATATTCTTTTTATTATGATGCTTTAGAACTTCATTAATAGGGAAGCCTTACAAATAGGTTATCATTTTTTGAGCCAGATCACACTGTGCTAAATAATGAGATATGGAAATACATTGAACAACATGACTTGTGCTGACTTTTACTTAAGGGTGTGAAGTATTTTAAATTAGACTATGTTAATATTGATGAAACGTGCACAAGGGGGAAAAATAATTTAAAAGCTTTGTTCCATTTTGAACGCTAGGTAAATTGTATAATTTAAAAATAAAGCACTGTGGCCTGGGAATAGAGAAACAACAACTCTAATTTCCTGTTGGAGAGAGTGGAAATTGATGTAACCTTTTTGGAAGGCAATTCAGTAATGCCTATCAAAATTTACAATGCATTTACTCAATGACTGGGCAATTACACATGCTGATAAGAATTTGCGCTGGATATACCTGTAAAAGAACACCAAAATAGATGTGTAAGTGTGTCCATTGCAGCATTTTTGAAATAGCAAATGAAAAAAATTGGAAATATCATTTAAATACACAACATAAAGGGAATGGTTAAATAAAAGATAAGTTCGTCTAATGGAAGATTTTGATCAAAGTTTCTATAGTAGAATCATTATAAAAGGGGGGAATGTAGAACAGAATTTCAAATTCTCATGGAATTCAGACTTTCTGAAGCCATTGAGGCTGGATAAACCCTCGAAACTATTGCCTTGAGACAATATTTAAACCTTAAACTAAAAATATCCCCTGAAGTCTTCTTTAAACCAAACAGTAGTTTAGCTCAATTAGTAAAGAATGCCTGCCTTGAGCACTGGTATCTTCTAAAGAACTATCTACGTGGGATCAAGTTGACAACAGCAACTCAAAAGGTTAAGTAGGAAGCTTAGGGGGCAGTGAGTTTATGTTAGTGGGATAGAAACAATTTGGAAAAGAAGGATGAGAATGATGTCACTGAACTGTGTGTGTAGAAATTGTTGAATCGGTGTATGTTCTGTTGTGTGTATTTTCAACAACAAAATAAAAAATTTAAAGAAAAAAAGTATGAGGTCACATTGTATCTACTGATAATGAAGAAGACTTCAGATTAATCAGTAATTAAATAAGCCATTCATAGACCACTATAATGGCTCTTTCGAATAATTAAAAAAACAGCAATATCTACATAGATAGGTTTATGTAGATTTATTGATATTTGGTGTTTTGTCGGGAGAGGTTCAAGATGAGAGTGGATTGGAGGAAGCTTTTTCTTTTTGTTTGGTAGCTTTCTGTATGATTTGATTTTTCTAACCATGTACATGCAATACTTTAATTTTTTTAAAAAAATCAATACAAGCCTTCTGAAGCAACTCATGATTGTTGTTCTTTTGTTTTTATGCTTAAAAAGACCTAACAAATAATATTGAAAAAATAGTAAAACACTTATTTGAGGTTTCCAAGGTCGTGAAGTATGACAAACACTAGCATATGAAGCACCGTGTTTTCAGGTTTCTAGGTAATATTCTCATCACGAACAAAAATCTGCGCCTGCAGCCATCAGAGTCCATCTCTCGGCCGTGGTGAGGGTAAACCAGCGTGGTGCTGGATAGTTGCAGACATCATGTCTACCTCCCCTTGGGCGTGAGAAAATTTGAAATCGGTTATTCCAATTGCTTTCCTGGTCTGTGATAAGAGAACACACTACACAACAGAACAACGGTTGCTGTTGAGTTGATTCTGACTCATGGCAACTCCATGTGTTGCAGAGTAGAACTGAGCTCTAAAGGGGTTTTTATAGTTGTGATCTTTGGGAAGCAAATTGCCAGGCCTTTCTTCCAAGGTACCTCTGGGTAGGCTGGAACCTCCAGCCAGCCAAGCTCATTAACCATTTGTGCCACCCAGAGACTCCCTATCAAATGAAGGCTTCTCTAAACATGCATTCATACTTACTAAATCCAAGTCTGATTCAGAGTGGGGAGAAAAAGGGTTGTGTATTCCCATGGACTCTGTTATTTAACACAACATACTCTGTTTTGGAAGCAGTTCCTAAAGGGAACAAAAGAATGACTTGCTTCTGTTTTTTTAATTCTTTTCAGAATTGCGACTTCCAGTCAGTCCCTCCGTGTGTCTGGATCAGCGTACACAGTTAAAACCTTCACGTCACCCTTCAGAAACAGTGAAGCCACATACGTGGAAACCATGGGATTGGAGACATGAACAACTGTAAGCTAATCATTTTGAATTGTTATATCCAGCGTGCATTTTAGGGGACAACTAAAAGGAAAGCATAGGACAGATCTAGGGAGTTTTATGCATTTGAATTATTAGATTCTGTTACATAAATTTTCAGCTATCCCCCTTAATAAAGAATGCCATCACCAATTTTCTTCTAGACTAATTCAGACCTCTCCTTTCATAGAATAAATATGTGAGTAAATAGGACTCTTCTTTAGTAAGTTACATTAATGGAAATTGAATTTAAAACCTTGACAATGTGAAACTAGAAAATTTTAACTTCCATTTTATATTCAAATGACATTGCCTTAGTCTGTGAGTATGGCTGAATGCTTTTTTTTTTTCCCAGCTATTAAATTATTTTTTATAACTCTAGGCATCTAAGAAAGTCCGTCATCTGCAGGTTACCAAGTTATCCAAGTTACCTCCAGGGAGAGGATTTTAGATTACCGTTAAAGTAAAATGAAAAATTAAAAGATTTTAATTCTCTCATCGAAAACACAAATGAGTTTGCCTCATCTAATTTTATAATTATTAAGTAGTATTTCGGCAGTTAGCAGTATTTATTGAAAAATCATATGCACCTTATGCTTATCCAGACTTCAAATGTTAAAATGGCACAATCTTTTATAGATGGAACTTAGATATTTAAAGTATGAAAACATGCTACGGAAAAGCAAACTGTTAAACATTTTCTTGTCATTTGTGTTGAAAGTGTATTTGTCTCATTACAGAATATTGAACTAGTGTTATTTCTTCCTTCGTACACTGAAATGTTTCCTTAATATTTCATCCCTTAAATGGACCTTCAGTTATCTGGGATGAGGGTATTAAGTAGAATTAGACTACAGTTAGTCCCCAATTTATGACAGGGCTCTGTTCCAACAACTTTGTTGTAAACAGGTTCTGACCTAAGTCGAATACCTCTTTTTTTTTTTAGTTTTCATTATTATTGCCTTTATTATCAGTATCTTTATAAATTTGATCTTTGAACATCTGCAAGTGAATCTCTGAGAATGATAACATCAGCAAATTATGTGCTGCAACATCGTATAAGTACATATTAACAACAAGATGTACCAAAAGGAAAAAAACAACAGATGATCATAAGTGCCGTTTGTCGTAACTCAAATGCATCGTAAGTTGGGTACTACAATGGGGAAAGTATGTTGGCATATTCTTGGTGACCTGTACACTTTTAAGATACTTAACATATTTTCATGGCGAGGAAGAACTAGAGCAAATGTAGGCGAGAGCAAAAGAGGAAAATTTCAGGTGTTTCACTGCTCCCCAAACGACAATTTATATCACCTTTGCTGTGACAGTACCGTAACTTGGAGATCAGGAGTAGCACGGCTAATGGAAATTTCCAAAAATCTTTAACCAGTATTTTAAGTATTATTTTCCTTTCAAAAACCATTTGATTTAATCTGCCAGAGTGAAGAACTCAGCAAATTGATCTTTTCTCTCTGTACCAGTACACCCCCTGGTGGTGACGCTCATAAGCAGTAAAATTGTCTAAGGAAACCCACACACTGAAGGCTGGGGGCCAACAACGGACAGAAGGGATGTACAAGGCTTTAAGGCAATTCACAAACTCCATGCTGTTGTTAGTTATTCCAACTCATGGCAACCCAGGTGTGTCAGAGTAGAACTGTGCACCTTAGGATTTTCAAGACTGACCTTTCAGAAGCAGATCACCAGGCCTGTCTTCTGAGGCACCTCTAGGTGGGTTCAAACCACCGACCTTTCAGCTAGTAGTTGAGTGTTAACCGTTTACACCATGGAGACTCCATACAAATTACATGCTGTTGTTGTTAGGTGCCGTTGAGTCAGTTCTGACTCGTAGCGACCCTGTGCACGACAGAACAAGACACTGCCCAGTCCTGCACCATCCTCACAATTGTTTTTGCTATGCTTGAGCCCACTGTTGCAGCCACTGTGTCTATCCATCTCGTCCAGGGTCTTCCTCTTTTTCGCTGACCCTGTACTTTACCAAGCATGATGTCCTTCTCCAGGGACTGATCCCTTCTGACAACATGTCCAAAGTATGCCAGACGTAGTCTCGCCATCCTTGCTTCTAAGGAGCATTCAACCACAAATTACGGAACATTAACTATATTGTTTTTTCCTTCTTAGGAACCAAACAACAGTCGTTGCTCCACATGAAACCGTCTTTAGAACTGAAGATCTATCTGTGATTCTTAAGGCGTATGTGTTGGTGACATCCTTAACCCCTTTGCGTGCATTCATTCATTCAACTGGCACAGTTTGGAATCCACCAAGGAAAAAACGCTTCACTGTCAAGGTAAAAGCTCACTCGGAACTGTTATTTCACACAAAGCACACTGGAGAGTGGTAAAATAAGTTGGGCTGCCTTTCTCCGACCTATATGATTATCAATTCCCATTGAACAAAAATTGCATCTCTTTATTGCTGCAAGCAGAGATTTTCATTTAATAGGTCCAGGTTCAAAAACGAACTGGAAACAGCGTAAGTCACTAGTGATTGTAAAGGCTACCTCTTTTTTCCTCAACTCATCACTTCAGTTCAATTCTCTGACCCATTACAGAGCTACTTCTCAATGGCACTCTGTTTTTCTTGACTTTCCATTTATTCGAGGAAAATATAGTCAATGCAACAAATGAAACTTTAATCTTGAACTTACACCTTTTGATTCATCCTTAGGCAGCATAATGCCTCTTTCATTGCACCAGTCAATATGGAATATTTGCTGAGTGAAAAATAAAGCTATCGAGTGTCTAAGATAGTAAGCCACGACATAAAGCCTGATGAGAAAGTTTTCAAGGAAGAGCTGATTAATACCCCCCAAAAAGTTTAGTTATAAAATGTAACTCCGGTTACCTTAGCTGAAAATAATATCTAATGACATGTTTGATAAGCATAAAGGAATATTTTATTTTGGAGAAACAATTTTTAGATTAGCTAAGAGGAAATGGGAATAATTTGAAAGGATGCCTCGTAATTTCAAGGGATTAAAAAGTGACTGAACTCGACTTTTTTTCCCCTTGCATTTATCATATATAGGCTATGTTTCATGTTCTGAAAAATCTTCCAATGTGGAAAAATTAAAAATGGTACATTTAAATGTTGTTAATTATAAAACAGATCAGCATGATATGAGGTGTAAGTATAATATTGCCTAGTAATATAGAGTTGAACTAGAGTTCACCTTTGATCCAGTTTTTGTTTTTGTTCCCATATATTGAACCAGTTCTTTTTTTTCTTTTCTTTTTTTAATTGTTGTAATTAAATGAGGTTTACATTTCAAGTTAGTCTCCCATACAGAATTTTTTTTTTAACATACATTGTTATGAGACCCCAAC